GGGCAGCGAGACCTCATCTCTACAATTAAATCAAAAAATCAGCCGGGGCGTGGTAGCACGCGCCTGTAATTCCGGCTACTCGGAAGGCTGAGGTGGAAGGATCGCCGGAGCCCAGCAGGTCGAGGCTACGGTGGCCGGGAGCAGCCACTGCACTCCAGTCTGGGTGACAGAGTGAGACTCCAACTCAAAAAAAAACTGCCCATGTGATGTTAGGTCCTTGTTTTAATTTAGCACGTTTAAGATGAAATGCAGTTCTTCAATGATTAGAGGAGACACAAATGGAAATAAAGATTCTATTGCTTACAGGTCTTGGGAGGTACATGGCATACCCAGACACGTACATGAAAATCAGGGAGTGTATAGAGAGAACAAAAGAGAGACCCATGCATGGGCCAATGCCTTTATTGGGGTCCTGAGTGTCATCCAAACAGATTTCCAGTGGGCTTAAAGTAATTAGGCATGAGTTCCAGGAGATCACACTGTAACTGAGAGGTAGTCACCGTGGCATATCAGCACAGTTCATGTGGGATGTAGGGATCAGCAGAGCCAGTCAGATAGGTTGTATCTAGCTGTACCATAGGGAAGTGGTCAGCAGGAGGAAGTTCTATAAGCTACATATGTGGATCAACCACAGTGAGGAACTGAGGGTAGTGTAGAACTGGAAACTGTGTCAAGGATGACTGAACCCTGCTTCTGATATGAGAAAGTTAAACATATTCAAAATAGATGCCAGAGAAACATAAAATAGTAAGAATTTACTACTGTCCTTCTCAATGCAGTATATCAGGAGGCACATGAGATTGGTTTGTCACATTATTGGTCATGTTAATCTTAATCACTTAGTTTAAATGGAATTTACCAGGGTTCTCCGTATCCTTTCCTCAACAGTCTTTCAAATTGATTTCATAAGTAAGGAAAGAAATTTATGATTAGCTTCTGGTGATTCTTTCATGAATCAGTTATTACTAGTGGGATTGTAAAATGATGTTTCTGTTTCCATCATTCTGTGTACATTTATTAGTTGAAATTCTTATGTTTAAAAAAACTTTTTCTTCTGCTTTTTATTTTAGGTTTAGTATCTACATACATTAATAATTTTTGTTTTATTCAATATGACATGATTCATTCCCGCCATTATTTAATGTTTAAATTATTCAAGATCTGTCCATTGGTAGCCCCTTCAAGTTATCTTCTTTAGAAAATTAGTACTGGTAACTTTCCTTTTGAGTTTTGAAATTGGTTTCATAAGTAGAGGAGGAAGCTTATTATTTCATCAGTATGGCTTAAAATCTACTATAATTTATACAGTTTCAAGCACCTTCTTTTATACTCAAAATGGTCTCTTTTGGATTTTTTAAAAATAATGTGATGGATTTGCAATGATTTATCTTCATTCTCTCCTGACTTCTCTAGTAGCCAGTGCAAGTTTTTTCCAGATGTTTGGCATATTGAGTAACATAGTATACAGCAGCAGAAGAAAACAAAATCAATCTGCTGGTGAATAGTTAACCTATAATTGTAGCCTTTATTATCACAATCCCCTCATCATTTAAGGTGTACACTATGCCTAGGAATGCTATAAAATTTTACTTTTACAAGATGTATACTAATCTGTAGATACTGGTAATCCTCCGACAAAACATGCTAGGTATGCTTTTATCACTAAGAGTGTGTTGTTTTAAAAAGGATCTCCCCTGATTTTCTGTCTTCTATTTACATTCTAATTGTCAGGATTCAAACAGGTAAATTATCAGAGTTTTTGACAACATCTTGCTGCACACACTTGAGCTTCATGGACCCTGGACCTGAGGGTAAGCTGTACAGTGAAGATTATGATGACAACTATGATGAACTAGAATCTGGCAACTGGATGAATGACTATGATTCAACCAGTACTGGTAAGGAGGCTTCAAAAAACACTGGCCTAACTAGACAAAAATGCAAAATATTATTTAGCATTATCTTTAATAATTCATGCTGCCAGCAGTCTTACAATGTTCTATCCTCACTTCTGTTAATACAGCTAGACTTCTACTTTTGTTTGGCTTTACTTTTTATACCTTTACTTACCTTTGGTTTCTGGCCTAATATCCCTGTGGTGATTGTGTAGTATGGAGTTGGACTGCCCCTTACTCAGGTTAGGGAAGATTTCTCTTTCAGGCATTAGAAGTAGCTGGTAATTTTGAAATGGGAAGAAATACTGGTAAGTGAGAGATATTTAATCAAATATGCAGTAGAAAAATTATACAGTACTGCTTTGTGACATTAAAAAGCATAAAAATATGACATTTAATTAGAGGGGCATATCAGAATCTCTGGGGAGATCTGTGTAGTTTGAAAAAGCCTATTTGCTATGTCTATTGTTTTCATATTACAAACCAGACAAATACAACAAAGTAAAATCTAATTGACTGCTAGGCATACAAAGATGATATTGAGAAAGCATTGCAGAGGCATAGATTAAAAATGGCTGAGAAATACTGCCCTGCACTGTTAAAATACTGACCTTGGCAAAGCAAGGATTACATTATTTGAATCCCAAACAGAGAAGGGCTGATAAGAGAGAATTATTATTCTTCTAGCTATCTAAAACATTGTTTGCCTGCTTTCATTTTCTAGGTATTTGACTATTAGCCTGAATCTTAAGTCAGCCAATGTGTTGGAGAAAAGGAAAAAATCGCTCTCCTCAGTGAGGTAGCAAGCAAGTACAGCCTTCTACACAATAGACCAACATATTAGTAGTCAGAGGGACTATTTTATTGTTTGGACTCAGTATTTATTTACTAAGTACAACTTCATTCATTCTGTATTTATTTTTGTAAAGCCTAAAATAGTTTGAATTTCTTATTGTAAAAATGCACTAAATACAAGGCTATTTACTGTTATCAATAATAACCAAAGTCATGTCATCTATCTAGGCATCAAATACTTTAAAAAATTAGACAAGAATGATCACATATTGAGATTGTTTGCCATTCCATGGGTAGTTGTATTTTCATCTGTAGCACTCATTCCCTTGGATTACTTTCTAAACTATATATTTCTATTAATATCTATTACTAACTTTGATATTATGGTATTCTGAGTCACTTTCCCACCTCTGAGTTTACTCATCAGTGATCTCACAATGGGCATGTTTATTGCTTGACAGCCCTCCTATGGGTAGAGAGTTTCTATCCATATTCTTCATAATCCTTCACTCGAGATCTAAATTGTATTCAAGGTTAAAATCTTTGTCATTAAGATGTCACTGAATATGAGTTCCATTCTTACATTCTCACAGCACTGCTAGTTCCCATTAGTCACATCAGAGCATGGAAAGACATCTGGAAAGATCAGTGGAGATTGTCAAAAGCCAAGTGACTCATGACTCACTTAGCAGACTTCGATATTGATCTGGATAGTATATTTGTCCAACTATAAACATTGTGAATAGTCATATAAAGTCTGAAATATTAGGCATCTACAGAATATATATAGATATGTATATATAGTTTTATTACCCATATTCAGGGATAATGTCATAGAAGGTGTATAAGGGAAGGGAAGCCCAAGAGGATAGGGACCATATTCATCTTCTTTAACACTGAAACCTCAGCACCTAGTATACTACCTGGTACATGGTAGCCAACAAATATTGGTGAGTAAATAAATGAGGTGACTAAAAGACCAGTGTGTGGCCAATAGTCTTTTCTGTACCAATGTCACATGAAGATTGTTTTTCATTAGTAATTGTAGCCACTGTTTGTAGAATCTGTTTAAAACTAGGCTCAGTGCTTAGTGGAAGATTTTTGCCCTTTCCCGACACTTCCTTACAAGTCTCCTCATATTGGTGAGACTTGAAGGTCCCCTTTCTGCTCTTCCTCCACCGCCACCACTTTTGCCACCACTACCGTCATATGTACACATGCACATGTACAGATTATGAAATGCTTGCTTCGCCTCTCCTAGAATAAGCTTCTACTTTCAGGAACTCTACCACTGTCTCAGCAAAGTTGAAGATGAGGTGAGTCCTGGTAAATGGCCATAGTCTCTAAAATCTTAAAGATATAAGGTAATACAATGATCACAAGCTTTTTTTTTTCTCCATGAGCTGTAAACAACCTACTTCTGGTGCTGTGTTGTGGGCACAGGAGCCAGTCATTCTGTTTGTTGCAGTAGATTGTGAAGTAACTAAAATGTTCATTTTTTTCTCTCCCCCCACCACCCACTAACCTTGCAGCTCGCTGTGGTGATGAAGTTGCTCGTTATTTAGATCACCTTTTGGCACACACTGCTCCCCATCCTAAACTAGCCCTTACCTCACAGAAGGGAGGTCTAGATCAGTTCCGAGCTGCTGTGCAAACAACCTGCGACTTAATGTCCTTGGTGACCAAGGCCAAGGAGCTGCATGTACAGAGTGAGTAATGCCATGACTCACTAGAGTCAGGCACAGGACGATGTGAAACCCAGGATGGGGGCGGGGCATTAATTACAAATGTAAGCAGAAACTTTGTTTTGTTCACTGCTTTATCCCAGCATCTTGGGCAACACCTAGAAAATATTAGACACTCAAATATTTTTAAAAGTAATGAATTGGGTATAGTTTTGCTGTAGATAATACTGTGTCATCTGGCTTAACCAGTAATATGGTAAGAAGAGGCAGAACAAGAGACAAGGAGCATATTCAATTTTAACATCAAAATTCCTTTGGAAATTACTAATATGGAAGAAACTTTGTTTAAAGAGAAGGCACTGCAAAACTATTATAAGATAGTTATGCAGTGGGGAGGGAAACAGTCTCCCTAAAGCAAGCTACATTTGGTTCCCTTAGGCCAGCTGTAAGTTGTTCCAGCAATGTAGACCTGTGTCTGTCAAATACAGTATTCTTTCTTCACAATTTTGCTATTCACCTTCCCATGACCACTATCCTCCTTCAGTTGTATTTACAGTGGAGGATGTCTTCCATCACACATTGCCAGGAGTAATCATGGTTCCTAAGAGTGTTCAATGCCTCTATGGTAGCTACATATAAAAGGAGAGAAAGGCTCCTTAGCCACACCTAGAGGACCTGAATGTAACATTTTACAGATGATGAGAATGATTGAGATGCATGCTATTGCCATCTAAAACTTTATTGACCATTACTAACCAACATTATTAAACATAAACATTGGTAAATCCTTTAACACTTATAATAGGGAAAAGCTTAGCATACCCTTTGAGTATGCTCCCTTGAGAAAGGGTTTATATGGAGAGGTGAACGTTTTAAAGTTATACTCCTTGATTATGAATCAGGAAACCAGCTTAAATTTGCAGCTGTTACCTACTTGCTTGAAGAGTTATTTGAGCTCTGTCTCTCTCTTTCTGTATCTGTAAAATGGTGAAAATGACAAGAGACTCTCTACTTAGAGGTGGTTATGGTAAGTATTTCAAAAATGGACTGAAGGTAAAAAAATCATAAGACTATCTCAAGGTTGGTTAGTCACTATATTTTTTTGATTCTCTAGATAGAATCATCTATTCGCCTATTTTCAGGGAAATCTAACCACTAGCAGGCAGATATTCTAAGTTCAGAAAATATAAAACATAGCTGTGCTATTTTTATTGTATATGGTATTAAATAAAACTCAGTGATAGCACTATTGTGGTATTGACTACATTAGTAAATGTAATATGTTAATATGTCAAGCTAATGCTATAATTCTAGCAATTCAATTCAAAGTATATTTATTGATTCATTGGACATTCTTTAAATTATCTGATATTCATATTTCTTTTATCTGATGTTAATGATGATAAAGTTCTCATTCTTGTTCTATAAAGAACTGACTCATATATGACCTCATTGATAAAGTCAGCTGTGCATTTTTTGTTAGTCTCCTAGCTATGCAACCTTTCACATAAATGTCAACCTCTTGCAGATGTTCACATGTATCTTCCTATGAAGCTATTTCAGCCTTCCCGGCCTTCGTTCAACTTACTTGACTCACCTCATTCCCCACAGGAGGACCAGGTAAACCTGCACATAAGGCATTTCTATCAGTTTTTTGCAAAACTGCTATCTTTATGGAAAATACTAGAACTAATCATTATGGTTCCTGTTAACACCTAGTGGCAAGAAAAATGATATCCTAGTGAAGACATATGTCCTTTTCTGTTCACTTTAAAAAAAAAATTGCCGGGCTCGGTGGCTCAGCCTGTAATCCCGCGCCTTTGGGAGGCTGAGGTGAGTGGATTGCCTGAGCCTGCAGGTTCAAGACCCACCTGGGCAGCAAGACCTCATCTCTACAATAAATCAAAAAAAAAATCAGCCGGGCATGGTAGCGCATGCCTGTAATTCCGGCTACTTGAAAGGCTGAGGCGGAAGGATCGCCGGAGCCCAGCAGGTCGAGGCTGTGGTGGCCGGGAGCGGCCACTGCACTCCAGTCTGGACGACAGAGTGAGACTCCAACTCAAAAAATAAAAATAAAATAAAATAAAAATTAAAGATGTGGGGTACAATTCAGGTTTAGATATACAAGTAGTCATTGTACAGGTAAAGTTTGGGCCTCTCTTTGGTCCCCACTTTTCCTGGTTTGAGATCAGGTACCCTTATTGGTGTTATGTGCCTGTCTTCCCCGCACCCCAGCAGTTTCCAGCTACTTTTGAGTGAGAATACATGGTACTCAGTTCTTTGTTTCTGTGATAAATCACTGAATATTATAGACTTGAAATACATACAAGTTGCTGCAAGGTCCATAATTTTGTTCTTTATGACTGCTTAGTATTCCATTGTGTATATGTACCACTTTTTTTTATCCAGTGCAGTTTGATGAGCAGCATGGTTGGTTCCATGTTCAGTTCACTTTTAAAGTGAACAAGTGGCCGGGCTCGGTGGCTCAGCTTGTAATCCCAGCGCTTTGGGAGGCCGAAGTGAGTGGATTGCCTGAGCCTGCAGGTTTGAGACCCGCCTGGGCAACTTGGCGAGACCTCATTTCTACAATATATAAAAAAAATTAGCTGGGCATGGTAGCGCACGCCTGTAGTTCCAGCTACTTGGAAGGCTGAGACGGAAGGATCACCGGAGCCCAGCAGGTTGAGGCTGCAGTGGCCGGGAGCGGCCACTGCACTTCAGTCTAGGTGACAGAGTGAGACTCCAACTCAAAAAAATAAAATAAAATAAAATAAAGTGAACGAGTTTGTCTAGTCAGGAAAACCATATTGTTGTATCATACATCTTGAAGATTTCATTGTTTTTGCTTTGCTTTTCATCAACATTTAAAGAATTTTTAGGGAAAAGATTTAGAGGTGAAAAGATGACTCATTCTAGGGCATTATTTAAGTTGAACACTTGTGGATTTAATTTCTTTTCATCATTTCTCAAACTAAAGGTTCCCTCTGTTCGTGTAGAAGTACATATTCCTAGAGATCCGTCTGGGGAGGTGGACTTCAAAGCACTGGTTTTACAGTTGAAGGAGACCTCAAGTTTACAGGAACAATCTGATATCCTCTACATGCTGTATACTATGAAGTAAGTGATGGACATTATCAATCTACTTTAATGCTCATATACAAAGGAAATATAGCATAGTAAATAGAGCTCAGCTTCTGGAGTTTCATTGATCTGGATTTGAATACAGCTTAGCAACCTACTCATTGTATGACCTCAAAGCATCAATTGTCCTCATTTATAAAATTTGGATTATACATACTTCAGAGAGTGATTATAAAGAGTAAAGAAGTTATTATATCTGTAAAGTCCCTAATACAATACCTGGCACATAGTAGGTGATTAATAACTGATAAGTATTATTATAATTATGGCTATTACTAAGCCTCCATTATTTGGTAAAATCTATGGATAAATTTTTAAAAGAAGGAAGAATATAGAGACTTATAGAAAAAAGAAACTAACATTTTTGTTTGCAATGTATCAGGTACCCTGCTAGGTACTTTGTATCTAGGTACCTCACACTCAATATGTCAAAATTGAAGTCCTCTCTCCTGGCCCCCAAACCCCCACACAAAAATAATCTCCCTCCTTTCTCATGTTATGGTCGCCATGAAGAAACAGGATGGACTCCCCTCCCTTCCTAAATTTGGTTTGAATGTTGAGAATGATGATGCCATACACATACCAAGGAAGGTGTAGAATATCTATTACTCACATAATGAAGCTTTCTGGGGAGAGCAGAGAAGATTCCTAAGTTGTTCCCCCCAAAATTTGGGAGAACATGGAAAGGAGACTGTATTTGGGACTTTATTGTGGTTAGGGAGTGAGGATTCTCACTGTCACCAAAGGAAGAAGCACTCAGACTTTCTTATCACCCTCCCAGCTGTAGAGCCAAAAGGAAAGGAGAGTGGTGGGAGTGGAAAGCTATCAGCAGTCAAACATTAAAAATAGAGTCATACTCTATTAAATTCTTTTTTTTTCATTTTTATTTTAGGCTCAGGGGATGAAAGTGTATCTTTGTTACATGGACATACTGTGAAGTGGTGGAGATTGGGTCTCAGGTGGCCCATTCCCCCAGATAGTGAACATTGTACCCAATAGGTAATTTCTGAACCCTAAGCCCCTTCCCTGCCTCCCGCCTTATTGGCATCCTCTATGTCTTTTATTCCCATTATTGTGGTCATTTAATTCCTGCATGTAAGTGAGAACATGCAGTTTTGGGTTTTCCATTTCTGAGTCAGTTCACTTACAATGATCAACTCCAGCTCCATTCACGTTGCTGCAAAATACATGGTTTCATTCTCTTTTATAACTGCATAGTATTCCGTGGTGTATATTTGTCACATTTTCTTTATCTAGTCAATCATTGGTAGGCATTTTGTTGGTTCCATGATTTTCCTATTGTGAACAGTGTTACAATGAACATATGGAGACTCTATTAAATTTTCTATACCCATTGAAGGAACCACCACCTACCTAATAATCAAGTGACTACCTACCCATGTCCAAGTCTTGCCAGTTTTACCAGGTCTTGCCAGTTTTACCTCTAAATGCTTCTCTTTTGCAGCTCTACAGTGATGCCTTCATTCAGGCATTTGTCTCTCACAAAGGACTTTTGCTATAGCTTCCTAACAGTCTTTCTACTTCCATCATGTTCTCTTCATGTCCATCATTCTCAGAGGAGGGAGAGTAACTTTTTTTTTTTACTTTTTATGATGGAAATTGTCAAACTTACACAAAAGTAGAGAGGGTGGTATAATGAATGTAATGAATGTTTATGGGTCATCACCCACACTGAGTAATTATTAACACATGGCTAATCTTGTTACATCTATATTCTCAGTCTCTCTCCTGGATTATTTTGAAGACTATTTTAGATATTCCTAAATATTTCAGTAATATTTGTAAAAGATAAGGAATCTTTTTTTCCTTTAAAAGGTAAAAATTTTATTTTTGAGGAGCTTCTTACTGCATTTTCTTTTTTTTTTTTTTTTTTTTTTTTTGAGTTGGAGTCTCACTCTGTCGCCCAGACTGGAGTGCAGTGGCCGCTCCCGGACACCGCAGCCTCGACCTGCTGGGCTCTGGCGATCCTTCCGCCTCAGCCTTCCAAGTAGCCGGAATTACAAGCATGCGTTACCACGCCCAGCTAATTTTTTGATTTATTGTAGAGATGAGGTCTTGCTGGCCAGGCAGGTCTCGAACCCGTGGGCTCAGGCAATCCACTCACCTCAGCCTCCCAAAGGCGCGGGATTACAGGCTGAGCCACCGAGCCCGGCTTTACTGCATTTTCAAAAAGAGTCACATAAGAAAGCAAAAATGTTATCCTCCCCTCATACTAGAAATAAATAAGAAGGTATAAAATTTCTTTTTAAATTATGACCTTTGGAAGTTTAGCACCAGTATCCAAAATGAACAAAAGAGAAAAAAGAAGCATTTACTATATATTTTAGATTTCTTTGGTTAGGGTTTTCCCCATGTAGTATTAATATTTCTTCTTTCAATTCTTGTTACAAAAACAGTAAAAAACAGGAAAAAAATATAAACCTAGTGGTTGCTGAAAGTGGGGAAGTTGGTCTCTTGTCTTCTGTGCAGGTATTCCTGGGTTCTCAGCTTGCTGGAAAAATTTGCTGACATTTTTCTTTTGCAGTTGTTAGTTTCTTAAAGAATAATAGTAAACATCCTAATGTCCAAATCTTGGTTAGTCTTCCACTTTATTGCTTGAATGTGTCTTTGGTGTTGGTAAGGTTTGCTTTTTGCTTTATTTGTCATTAATTCTTTAGGTCACCTTCTGATGGTAAAGGGCCTGGGGAGCCTGGTGTTAGTCAGCACTGCTCTGCTCGGTGGCTGGAGCAAGGTTCTCAGCTGGTGCTTCACCTGCCCTGGTCTCTTTGCCATCTTGTGAAGGAGCATTAGAAGGACGGGAGTGACGCTGATAGTTGTAGGGATGCCAGTATCCACAGCGAGCAGATGGCTGGTTTGCACCATTGGCCACCTGTTGATTCTCTTTATCTTCAGCCTCTCCAACAGCTGGAGCAGGTCGTGAGCGAGGAGGTCCCCTACTACGGTACCTTGGGCGGTAAGTTGGATTTTCATGAACTGGTCCTGGAAGTTGTGCTCCCTCTGGGACTCCATCCTTCATCTCTCCAATCTCACCAGCATTCCGAGGAGGGCCATAGTGCCTGCCATAGTAGCCACGTCAGTAACAGCGCCGATCAGAGGCATAATGACTCCCTTCTACAGGAACTCCATCTGGGCCAGTCACATTGGCTGCTTCTGCACCCTTCTCTCCTTCAACCACATCAAACTCCACAGTTTCTCCATCTCCTACACTGCGTAGATATTTCCGTGGGTTATTCTTCTTGATGGCAGTCTGATATACAAATACATCTTCTTTGGTGTCATTTCGATTTATAAATCCATATCCATTTCTGACGTTGAACCATTTGACAGTGCCAAGGACTTTGGTAGCGAGAACTTTTTTCTCCACGTCCTCGCTGCCTGCGGCGGCTACTGAGGCAGGAGCCGCGGTGCCTGTGGCTGTTGCGGGGGCCGGTCCCCAGTGGGGTGTCCTGCGACCAGGGTGGTGGGCACCGGGGCCGCAGCCTGGGGCGCGCCGCTGCCCACCAGGCTCTTGGGCACAGGGTCCTGGGGCGCTGCAACAACCGTCTGCGCCAGCTCCTGCAGGAGGATGGTGGTGGTAATGGTGGTCTCGCCTGCCTCGCTCATGCCACCTCCTCTGACTCTCCCTCGGGCACCTCGCTGGCGGTTGGTGGCAGTTGGCGCAGCTGGTAGTCGCAGCAACCAGGGCTTGCTTGGAGAGGCCGGTCGGGGCTCGCAGCGCGGGCAGCAGAGGCGGGAGGGGGCGTCGCGTGGCGGAGGCAGTTCAAGCTCTTGGTCTGCGCACTCGCTCGGGGCTCCTCACTTGATCTTACTCGGGAATCTCTTAAAATATAACCACAATGGAGCTTCTGGTTCTGGGCAAGATAAAATAGATGCATTTCTAAATAGATGCTAAGTATAGGAGTACATTGCTTATAAAACAATCATAATAAGTCTCTGAAAGGTGGCGAGAAGAAGGCACAACAGCTAAATATCTCAGGATCTGATGAGCAACATGGTGATGAGGCCCCAGGGTTTTCTTTTTTCCTTATGTATCCTGTACTGAGTCCAGGAGAAGCCATCAACCTGAAAACACCAAATGGCACACACAGCAAAAGCCCCAAGGGAAAAAAACAAACCTGTTCCTTCTAGACAAAAGACTAGGAAAGGGCAGCCAAGCAAGACAGACAACTTTTAGATAATAACTACTCTATTCCAGCCAGTACCATAGAAAAAACTGTGCCTTCTCCCTGACCCTCTATCAACAAAGGCTGAGTAGGAAGCCCAGACATCCACTCTTGTCTAGCTATAACAAGGCAGGCAATTCCACCCTCCCTACTGCTACAGTGTGTCAGTAAAGACCAAGTAGGGATTTGGGACTTTCATCCTCTCTGGATTTAAAGAAGCCCCCTTCCTGTGGTGTCAGTGGAGACCACATGGGGAGCATGAACTTGGATTCTCACCCCCTGATAATGGGGTATCCCTGCTCATCTCTTCTAGTTGGTGTCAGAGGAGACCTAGTGAAGACAAGACTTTCACTACCCCTCAGTAGTAATGCAGTATCAGTGAAGGCCACATGGGGAACAGTAACAAAGTGCCCCCCTCCCTCCCCTATCCAAGGTAGTGTCAAGAAAGGCCTAATGGAGAGTCTGAATTTCCACCCCTGTTCAGCAGTAACAAAGCCCCTTTCCCCCAATCATCAACAAAGCATGAATAGGAAACCTGAACTTTATCCCCACCAAGCAGTAATGAGGCAGCATCCCCTTTCCTCTAGTGATAGTGTATTGTCAGAAAAGGTTTGATGAAACAGAAGATTTCAATAAGATCCAAAGTCATACAACATGATACCCCAAGTGTTCAAGATATAATTGGAAATCATTTGTCATACCAAGAACCAGGAAGATCTCAACTTGAATGAGAAAAAATAATTAACAGATGCCAACACTGAAATATTGCAGATGTTGGAATTGTCTTTCAAGGCTTTTAAATGAACCACCATAAAAAATACTTCAGCAAGCAATTCTGAACACCTTTGAAACAAATTAAAAATTAGAAAGTCTCAGCAAAGATATAGAAGCTATAAGGAAGATCCAAAGATATGGAAGCTATAAGGAAGATTGTAGAAATCTTACAAATGAGAAACATAGTAACCAAAATGAAGCAGCAGAATGTAGAGAACAGGATAAAGGCAGTGAACTTGAAGGCAGAACACTAGAAATTACTCAATCTGAACAGCAGAGAGAAATACTTTAAAAACATAAAACAGAACCAAAATGCCATTATCATATATAAAAAATTAAAATTGTTCATCAATATTAATAAGTATCTCATCAGTGTTAAATTCCTCTGACCTAAATGTATTTTTTGCAGTTAACTTGTCTAAATCAGGATACAATGAAGGTCCACATATTGCTCTTGGTTATTATATATCTAAAATGCTTTTTAATAACTGAATTCTCCTTTCCTTTTTTTATGTCAATTTATTGAAAAACTGAGTTGTTTGTCCTATAGAGTTTTCCACACTCTATATTTTGCTGGTTGTATCCTCGTGATGTTGTTTAACATGTTTATTTCTCCTTTATATTACCTATAAATTGGTAGTAAGAGCTACAGGCTTAACAGATCCAGGTTCAATACTTTTAGGAAAGACAACTTCATAGGTGGTGCTTGTTTTACATTTTAGATGCAGGGGGTACAGGTGCATGTTTGTTACATGAGTATATTGCATACTGGTAGGGATTAGTTTTCTAGTGTACCTATTATCCAAATAATGAACATTGTACCTGATAATTTTTCAACCTCTACCTCCTTTCCATCCCCCTCCTTTGGAGTCCCCACTGTCTATTATTTTCATCTTTATGTCTATGTGTACCCATTGTTTAGCTCTCACTTAAAAGTGAGAACATGTGGTATTTGATTTTCTGCTTCTGAGTTAGTTCACTTGTGGGGAGCCAGCCCCTGCAGAGAGATTTAGGGGGTCCCTGGGAGGTGTGGCAGCATTGGCAATTATTCTGGAGAAATGAAGAGAAAGAAAGAGAAGGGGGGAGAAAGAAAGAGACTGGACTCTGTCTAGTGCAGAAGCCGTTTAATGGGCAAACCATAAACCTTTTATCCTAAAGTTTCACAGGCAAAATCACAAGATTTTCACGTGAACACAAAGCCAAGTGGATGAGGGGTGTCCCCCACCCCCCAGGTGTTTCCTCAAGCATGAGGAAGGACAATCCCAATATTATTTCACTGTTCCTTATGCTTGGTTAATGTTCTCAAAAACAGTGTAACAATTCTAACATCATAATATTCTAATAATCAATAATTTCTAAAGCTTATGCATACACAACACCTAATGACTAACTTAAATCCTAATACCTTTCTATTCTGTGCTAATTTGCCTATACTATAGAAACTCTTAATTATAGCTCAACCCAGTTCCTAAAGAATGTGGCCCAGTCCAAAGATCATGCTGGGCCGTTTCTAGGAACAATTGATTACAATCTCTTAGCAAAATGGCTATTCTAAAATCCTATGTATCTATCTTAATTTCTATAAAAGTTTCTAATTCCTAATTGTTGGGAGCCAGCCATGGAGGCCCACTGAGCATTAGGGATCAGGAAGGGCCGTTGGCCCCGAGACCACTAGGATGCGTTCGGGAGCTATTTGACCCCATTTCCTCCCCCTTTCTACTCAGCACTAACCAGATTAAGCTCCTGTGAGCTCAACACATAAAAACTCTGAGACCGGGATGAACACAAGTTAACTTTAGAAGCTCATTGCTCCCATTCTTCCACAAACTGCAGTTTTGGTTTTCACACAACTTATAATTCAAACTTGTGTCACATCTAAGAGCCTTAGTATTGGTCACAGGCTTCTGGGTCATGATCTTAGGATTTATTGAAGGTGTAAATTGTAGAATATAGTTTTAGAAGACAGCCATTTTGTTGAAAGAATGCGACTGGGTTACTTGCAGGTAACCCACTGTGAACTTTGGACTGGGCCACATTCCAAACATTCTGGGATGGGCCACTTTCGTTTGTAAAGTAAATACTTAAGCTTCTATAGAATTGTTTAACTTGGCATAAATCAATCAGCTTAGGATGAAAAAGGTTTATAGAATATGTCAGTCACAGATTAGGTTATCCTTTGTTATGGGACTTTAAGATTATCATATGAAAAGGGTTTAAAGGCAATCATTGATTAAGTTTTCATGGATTAAGGTTTCTGGTGGGTGGGGGACGCCCCTCCCACATCTGACTTTGTGTATAAAAGACCCATTGTAATTCCCAATAACACACACATCACTTCTGCACTAGACTGGAGTCCAGTCTCTTTCTCTCTCTCTCTCTCTTTCTCTCTTCTTTCCCCCAATCGCTGACACTGTCTCCACCTTTGGGGTACCCTGAACCCGGCTGGAGCTGGTCTCCAGCACCTAATCCCAATATATAAAACTGATCATCAGCAATAAAGCTTCTAAAATAAAACCCAAATACAGACTGTAATTGTACTAAAGCCAAAACCACAATTAGTAAAAAGTGGGAACAATGAAATTTCTAAAGTTAACTGTATTCTTATAAAACCTCAAAGTATCATGTTTGATCATGCTTGAGCTAACATAGTTCCCTGAGGTAGCATGACCTATTCTACAATACTTTGTATGAATAAAATAAATTCAACTTCTATAACAAGTAGAAAAAACCGACACTAATTGTAGCTAAAAAAACTGGTTTAAAAGAATGCAGCCCCGCCCAAAGTGAATGCTGGGCCCTTAGGAATGTGGCCCAGTCCAAAGTTTGTGCTGGGCCATTTCTGGTAACTCTAGATAATCATCTCTACCATCTAAAGCTGGAAACAGCTCTCTAAATGTATATAATAATTCTACAAATATACTTGTAAATCTTATAAAGAAGCTTGTACCATATTAAAGGCTCCCAAATGTGACCTGAGTTTGAACTGTGTTAAGTTTAAAGCCAAAACCACAGTCTGTGAGAAACGGGAACAATGGATCCCTAGGGTCAGCCATGCCTGTCATACTCTCAGAACTTCATGCTTAGATCATCAAAGTCCCTGCTAGTGGATCATGCCAAACAACAAAGAAGGGAAGAGGGAATGGGCCTTCAGCTCCTGGACTCAATCTGGTGGTCTCAGGGTCTGCAGCCCGCCTGGATCCCTAATGCTCAGGCGGGCCTCCACGGCTGGCTCCCAACATTCACTTAGAATATTGACCTCAACTTCCATCCATGTTGCTGCAGATGACATGGTTTTATTCTTTTTATGGATGCATAGTATTCCATGGTGTATACATACCCATTTTCTGTATCCATTTAACCATTGATGGGCTCTTATATTGGTTCCATGACTTTGCTGTGATGAATAGTGCTGTAATGAGTATTTGAGTGCAGGTGTCTTTTTTATATAATGATTTCTGTTTCTTTGGGTAGATATCCAGTAATGGGATTGCTGAGTTGAATGGAAGTTTTATTTTTAGTTATTTAAGGATTTTTAGTTATTTAAGGATTTTTTATAGAGGGTGAACAATTCCTACCACTGGTATATAAGTGTTCCCTTTTCTCCACATCTACTCTAGCATCTGATATTCTTTGACTTTTTAATAATAGCCATTCTGACTGGTATAA